CCACAACGCCCGGCTATTTTTTGGTTGCAGCCGTCGTTGTTTGGGGGGTCCGGGCTGGGGATTTGAACCCGCCACCTTAGGTGTACGTGGCTGGCGCCTTAGCCGGTTGAGCTATAGGCGCCGAGCCCTTAATTGTTAAAGGTAAATAAAAACAGCTCATTTTCTCTATATGCTTTTATTATCCATAAAGTTACTCAAATTGTCATTTTTGAGACACTGAGGCAGGAGGAGTCTGAGGTTGCTGTGAGCTAGGCTGACAGCATGGCACTCTAGCCTGGGGCAGTAGAAACTGTCTCAAAAAAAATTGCGATTTTAAAGAATGAGCATAAGCTTCGATGAATCTTCCCTTGTGCTTAAAAATGATGATATCAAATTGCTCCAGACATTTTATAAGAGTTTAGTCAAGAAACATTACTAATGGTATCATAAATAAGTATTATAACTTTATTAAAATGAAAAGACAATATTCAAAATAATGCAACAAAATGAATAAAATCCTTTGTCCAATACTGTACACATAATGCAGAAATCAGTGCATTTTTCTTAAGCATGTTTTAACCTTCATTTAGTTCATACTAAAATATAATAAGCTTTAAATAGCTCAAATAATATTCAGCAGTTTAAACTGTAAACAGCTTGTTTAACTAGTAAGAGAACATTGTAGCAATGTCCCTGTTAGTGAGCACCTTCTCTCTCTTGTGCTTGTTACTCAAGACGAATCCATGGAAGGATGTGAAGATAAGCACGAGCTGTGTGTCTCACTGCACCAGGTGAGCAGCCGGCTGGAGAGTTTCCAAAGCAGAAAGACGCTGAGCGACCTCTGGTATGAAGACATACCGCGCTGTTGGTCAGAAGTGTTTTACTTAAAAAGCAAACAATCCCCAGGAAATACTGACTAGGAACCAGCAACACAAGGCCAGCTTGTGTTGTATTTGTTTATTAATACAGTCTAAAAACAAAAACAAAAAACATAACACACATCCCCACACAGTAACTCTCAATCACATAGCTAACTGCTTCATTAGTTTGTAAAACTGACATGCTAAACACTGGCATCGAGTGTGCTTTTCATTGGAGTCTCAAGACCCCACTGTCTCTGCAGGGCCTGTACCACAAGCGGCCACTTCAGTGGGGAGAATCAAGTGGGAATTGTAAGGAAAAACTGTTCACTAATTCTGTGTCTTTCCACTTTTCAAGATGTGAGACATGTGCAGGTCAGTGGTTGCCAAATAAGCTGCTATCCCTCCCCTCAGCAAGACAAAAGCCGAGACCTGGGAGCATGAGGCCTGGGAGGACCTCCAAACTCGGTCAGCACCGTCACGGAAAAGACCGCTTGCAAAAATGAACAAAATAGAACAGGCCTAAAAGCCGCAAATCTTCAAACCTACAAAACGAGAATAATCTTTTTTGATAATTCCGATCTAAGCAACACTGAATTTTCTTCCATTTGCTCAATTTTCAGTCTGTCAGGTTGGGTTTTAGCTATTCTGAATATATATTACTCTAAGATAGTAACTAACAGGTTAACCTGCAACTATGGTCTATGGTTATACCACAAGTTTATATATAGCCATATAAGGTACGAATATATAAAAGTTTCCCCATCCCCCCTCCCTGCCATCACATCTTTAAATTATAAACTTGAATAGACTTTTCTCCATCTCTAACAAAACTGGGGATTCTCAGCATACTAGCATCTCACAACTGCTCTAAGTTTTTCTCATTAAGACAGAGAGCTCAACTATTTTATTTTACAATCTGAAAGATGTTTCTGTGAACCTCAATCAAAATGGAAAATCGAGAGCCACCTGCTCCTATGCAGACTGTGCTGGACCACAGCCCTGCGGCCTAAGGAGAAACCACGTAGGCCGAGTGCTTACGCTTCACGTGGCCGCCTGGATCCATCTTTGCTTTTGAGTCCAGCTTTTCCGTGGCTGAGACTACACTGCAGTCAGCAGGCAATGGCTGGATTTGGGGGCTTGCATTTGTTTCTTCTGCTTCCCTAAAAAATTTTTCATATTTGTCCAGGTATGGTGGTCTCTCAGGTAGTAGATAATAATGTGTTGAACTAACCTTCTTCCCATTTTCAATAATGGGCAGGATGCAAGGAACCTTGTTGGCAGCCCCTTCGCTGCTCTGTCTCTGCAGAGCTTTGCTGCTGACGTACTTGGGATCAGGAGCAAAGCTCTGGGTTGGGGGCATGACCCCGTTGAGGTAAGAAGGAAGGCTTTTAGGACTCGGTGTGCGGGAGTTACTCCGGGATACAGGTTCCCTGGGCGGCACTTTGGGAGGCCTGTCCTCATCACTGTAAGTGCTAGAAGTGACTTCTGCTGACCACCTTCTGTAATCCGGCTTCGCTGGCCTCGGCGGTATGGGAACCCTGGGGGGGACTTCAGGTTTGTCTTCATCAGAGTTAGGAGAAGCTCTGTGTAGACAGCTGGATATCCTTATGGCCGGTTTGTTAAAGGATCCGGCTGGTCCTGAATGAGACCTTCTTAACCTTCGGTGGGTTTGAGGGGCAGGATTTGGACTTGGGACACCTCTGTTTTGGTCAGAGGCATAGTTGAGATCTGCTGCAGAAACAGCAGGGGTGTCAAAATATGCATAGTTGATCTGTCCACACCCACGGAAGCTTCGCCTGCCAGGAACATCATATTTGAAATCAGAAAATGTATATTCTTCTAAAAGGAAGTCTGTATCTGAGCTTGTTAGGAATTCTACCTCACAGTCTGTCTCATCCAGAGAGAGGTCTTCAGAGATTGGCAGTGGCGGAAGGGGCCTAGAGCCCCGTTCACAGAGAGCTGTGCTGGAGAAGGGTGAAGGGGAGCTTTTTATGGGTGTAAGTGGAGGAGTAGAAGCACAGACCCCATTCACTGAGAGTTTCTTAAAACCACAGACAACTTGATCCTCATTACGTTGTCCCAAGTTGTCACTTGGAGGAATAATGAGAGGGGGCAAGCTGGACTTTTGAGATGAACCATTTTCTGTAAAGTAGTGGCCGTTCATCGGAACAGATTTTGAAGCGTGCCCTAGAATGAATGAGAGAAGTTAATAAAAGGTCAGCAACCCCCTCTCCATTGAGTGGGGTGGAGCGCTCCAGCTGCCTATGCTTATAGCTTTCTACCTAGACTGTGAGGGAAATACCTGACTGCAGTAACCCTGAGAACACCCATGCAATAATCACAGGTGTAATTAGAGCCCAAAGATTGTTAACGCACATGATCTGGTTCAAAGAACAACCTATCTCTTCTATCTCCCTTGGACATGTGCAGAGCACACACCCACTCATCACAGGCAAGTTTTGTGACGTGTGCAAAATCTGTGAAGATGAACAGCATGTAATTGACATGAGTACCATACTACACCAGCCTTGCATTTAAGACACGTGACAACACAAGGCATGCAGGGCGGAGTGAGATAAGACCAAGCCTTTACTTCCAGCACGTCATAATATTGCTGGCAGTGTGTTCAACTGATAAGCAACTCTTTTGTTTGTTTTGAGACAGAGTCTCACTGTGTCACCCTCGGTAAAGTGCTGTGGTGTCACAGCTCACAGCAACCTCCAGCTCTTGGGCTTAGGCGATTCTCTTGCCTCAGCCTCCCAAGTAGCTGGGACTACAGGTGCCCGCCACA